CAACAACATTTTGACTGAAGATTTAGACCACATAAGAAGGGTGACTTTAAGGCTTAACACTAGAAGTTATTAATAGCTGTTCCTCTATTACTCTTTAATAATTGCAAAGTGTTGTTTTTGGTTTTTCCAAAAATTGAAAAAAAAAGAAGAAATATACTGCAGTGGAAATATACAAACAGTATCACTTGGAGTCCCCTTTCAAAACTGAGACTTTTTTTTTATCATAATTTTTTCTTTCTGAGGTTTTACATCATCAAGGTGGAAGTACTGCAAATGAATAGCAGAGCACATTGCCTACATTAAAACTACTTCTTTAGTGAATTTCAAGAACATTTATTGTGCTGTCATCCATGAACAGTTCTTACTCGTACACAATTGCTTACACAAACTTACATTTTGACTATCAGTTACCATAAGATGATCATTCTACTTTCCATCTGGCTTCCAAAGCCAATGTGATCTAGAGAGAAACAAGAAGTTTAGTTATGGTACTTAGGTTAAAAAAACAAAAACAAAAAAACCTACTGAAGCCCACTTCATCGAACTAAGTAGTATCTACTTCGTCTCTCAAGAAGCCCCAAACACACTGCCAGTGGCAGTACAGCACCGCTTTTACTTAGATTGCTCTCATATGCCCAACTAGCTGAGATTTGGTTCCATTCTCAAAAGCACAACTTAAGCACTAATCGAGCAAAAAGCCTTCCTGCTTTTCAGTCTCATGAATGCTAGTCTGAATGCTTAGAAAGCTGGTCTTCGCTGTCCTCCAAGGGCTGCTGCTACTGAAATAGAACAAGGTGTTACCTGCTTTGCACATGAATGCATACTACCTCCTTCAAAGATAGGCAGGCACAGATGAAACAGACTGCCTGCACAAAAATCATGGTTTTATTTCTGCACTGAAAAGACATCATTTGTTGACAACACTGGAATTCACTGAAGAGATTTACACCACATAATGCTTATAAGACCACAGTTACTAACCTAAACAATTTTTCCTGGCAGCCTCTTTTTAAGAAATGAACCACACCAGAAAGAAGTAAGGGAAAATCTACCAGATAGATGTGTCATAGGGTGGACAGCTTTGCAAGAATAATCTGCAAACTTACTATGCTGAGATTCCTCCCTAAATAGCATGTAAGAAAGGTACTGAACATTCAAAACCTGCTCTCAAGAATCTGCATTAAAACCCAGATGAGAACACACAACTCTGTTTTACTACACAGAAGTCATCACCTAAATGATGCATTGTCTGTGTTCAGGAAAGTCATCAAGCAACTGGACCCAAACAGAGAATAATGTTACCACTTCCAGTTCATCAGCCCCAAAGCAAGATAACCAGCATTCAAGACTATTGTACATCCAAGGATGAAGTTAGTATTGCAAGCAAAAAATTTATACTCTAAGAACTGTAGTTACAAAGGGGATATTCTGCATCAGTACCCCCAACTCACTTGTTCTTACAGATGGCAGGAGTGAAGCACATTAAGCAGATCTCCCAAGGGAGATGACTCAGAAAGAAAGAACGAACATTTAATATACTGCTTTTGGCACCACCAATCTCTTTCAGGTCAAATACGCCATTCCACAAAAAGAAAGCAGCTAAGCATGAAATACGTGTTAGGTGCACCTGAGCAGAAAATCTGTCCAGTGCTCACTGGTGTGTAAGAAACAAGCAGGTCATGTTATATAACAACTCCTTGGCTTGGAACTATGTTTCAAACTTTGCTGAGGGCAAAAACAACTGTTTCAGACTGCTTGATTGCACTTACTAGTTCATATGGACTTGATAGGCAATGTGTACAGTGGCAAATTAATAAACAATTTCAATTCAATAAATTAACAACATAAACTTAAGGAATTAACAACTTAAATTAAGGAATTTAATTTTCTTATGAAAACGTATAGCAGACTGTTGTGGTTTAACCCAGCAGGTGGCTAAAGCACCACAGTCCTCCGCTCGCTCCCCCGCCTTCCCAGTGGGAACCCAAAGAACATTTAACTGCTAAGAACTCACAGCTTTTGTGCTTTATAGAGATTTTCAGGGCTGATAGAAACTTATACAGTGCTTTGAAACTGTCAGGAGCACATCTGAATCACTGCACCAAAATAAGATGACTTCATTTGTTCTGAAATAGTTGCCATCTTTGAGACAACGGGAGCACTTTGGAGGTATCATTTATTCAGGATCAAGAAGCAAAGCTATAAAAGGAACAAAAAACCAACATCTTCAGTTTGCTGACATACACTGTGTTCCAGAGCAGTTTAACCTGCCCTTCAAAAAGTTAGTCAGTTCTTTTTGTCTACAGAAGTTATTTTAAGAAACAAAGAGAACAACAGTAACCAAAATAAATAAAGATGACTTATCAACTGATTTGTACCAATTCCCATACAGAATGCAGCTCTTCTCTCAAATTTTCAGAGAGGCTTTGATATGTGGCCACATGCACAGCTTCTTGTACATCCCAGAAGTCCTTTCTGGCTTCTCTATTTGACGACTCAAGAACTACACAATGTATTCAGTTATTACTTGCAGCATTGGTACCCCAGTCCCATTCTTCTCTATCCTGTCAAAGCACGTGTTCATTGGAGCAAAAACATCAGCTGCTCACGTTAAATACTTTTTCAGTTACAACACAACTTAATTGTACACAATTAAGACACAAAAGGCCCCTCTGGTGCCAGCAGAGGGTCATCTCCTGCCATCCCCAGCACTCCAACACCTCCTCCAGCAGTCACCAAAGGTTTCAATTCCACAATATGGAATGTTTTGGTATACACCCATTGCCTCTTGTCACACCATTAGGCCTAAGAGGAGCCTGGCTCAGTCTTCTTTCCATCCTCCCTTTACATACACTGATGAAATGATCCTTGAGCCTTCTCCTCTCCAGGTTAAGTGGCCCACTTCCCAGATTTTCATCACCAAAGAGATGCAGTTCTCAGCTCCCTACACTTATAACCCTACTTCCACACACGTGTGGGCATGATCTCTCTGCACAATAATTATTTCACTACAATTATTTCATTGCTTGTCCCCCATTGTGAATAAAAGCACAAAGTTTTCATCAGAGAAGAAACTTCTGGAATTGATACTAGATCCCCCACCACATTTGCAATAGCATGTTTACAAGTTGTACAGTCAGTGATCTACCATGCATTTCTGTAAATATTTGTCTTTACATTAATCTCTATAAAGTGATTCGTTAATCACCTTAATCAATTCCTTAGAGCTCAGGGAGGTTACCTAGCATGAATATCAACCCATAAGAAACAACTCTGTACAATCACATTAAACACTTTTGCAAATTCCCTATAAGAAACAGAAATAGAAGGAATTTCTTCTTAAAAAGCCACACTATATTCTTCTAGATATAAAACATATGCAATTTATAATCTGAATTCAAGAAGGGGGCCTCATTCTTCTATAAAATAACTAGATTTTTAAATGAAAGACAGTTGATGCTTTGATAACGATATTACTTTAAAAAAAAATGTGGAAAAACACCTCAGCAGATTCAGAGCTCTCTGAAGCTGTCAGTGCAACAAAGGATACAACAAACATTAGGTTAGCAAGGAGCATGGTTTTTTTTGCAGATGCATACTTTCTTCACCCAGCAAAGGTTTCTGGACTAGCCCAAGGAATGGGTTAATCTGATAAAGTGGTTTAAACACCTGTTCAAGCACTACTTAAGCAGAGTTTAAGCATTTCAGTTTTTTTAGGAGTTTCTTTGTTGTTAATAAATCTTGTGCTATTTGGGGGAAATGTTTAAGCAAACCAAAAAAGCCACTCAGTATTGAAAAAAGAACCTCCCCATAGGTTTAAAGGACAACCAGAAAAAACTTTCACCCTGCACGCAAGGCCACAGTCATTTCCTCAGCTTAGAGATGGGAATTTGGACCTCAAACAACCACAGCTCATGTTTGTGTAGGCACAAGCCATCTCTCGTGGCCTCATTTCACTCCCACTGACGATGACAAACCCCTGCTTCACCAAAGGGGAAGTGGGGCTGCATTTATGGGCAACATTAAAGGTCACCAAGAAATTTAGAGCTCTCATTTGACCACCTGACCAAGCCTCCAGTCACAAAAGAGTCCTGCTGACCATTTTGCCATTTCAGGCCAGCTGGCCTGAAATACAAACAAGCAGCACATTTTTGTAAAGGGAGCTAAATGTTTTTCTCCCTAAGATTCCTCCTGGATCTCACACTCAAACACTGACAAGATTCTGAGATTAGGCAGTGCTCTTTGACTGTGAGAGATCAAATAAGAGCATTCTTATAACAGCTAAACGCTGCTACATGTGAAATGTATACACACCTCTTATGAGGAAAATATTCAGCCCTTTTCTACTGCTGCTGACATCGCAGAATAACGACAGGCCAAGTAGACCATCTTGTTTGGTTTTTTTCTTTACTGTGTTCTGTATTACTGTTGATGTGAATTGCTGACCAAAAACCAGGCAATTAATTGCAACAAGCATTAACTACACTAGGCAAGCAACACAAATGAAGCCAATAAAGCAAACAATATAATACTTGTTTTTTGTTACAGTATCCCTGGAAATTAAAATTGTACCCCAAGAAAAACAGTGCATTTCACGATGCTCTTAAATTCAAGCAGGCTCCTAAAGCCAAGCTTTTAAACCATCAAGAAAAGAATTACAACACTTCCATTTAAAATTTGTAGCTATTTAAGGAACATCTGCAACATGTGGTTACCTTCATCTGTATCTTCCTCTGCCCAGTACAATCTGTTCTTTGCTGCATTCAAAAAAAAGTACTTGAAATTTCATTTCTGATAATATAAGTATTTATACTTATTATGAAGACATACACAGGTCTAGAGGGTGTCCTTCAAAATAGGTTAGTCAATTGAAAAACTCATTTCAAACAACACCTCTCATTGAGCTCTGAAGGAATATTCATAACCGTTTCAAATGATTACTACAAGCAACAGTAGGTTTGTTTTATATAAACACTGTACACTTAATTTAATATAAAAATATATTATTTTTAATAAAAGTACATAATACACTATAAACAGCTATGAAAGCACTGTTACAGAGGTAAACAAAAGTCTACGTTAATATTTCAAGTGATTGCATAGAATTTCTTCATGCAACAGTCTAAACTGTAACATTGGTCATGAAATGGACCCAGTAAAACAGGGTCATTTCCTTTCTTCACACTCAAATTTATACTCACTTGAAAGGGAAAAAAATGTGTTATCACTGATATTGGTTCAAGTTGGTTTTTTTTTATTTTATTTTTTATTTTAAGTGGGCTATCAGAATCAGAGCTTTGCTGAAGAGACTGGGGATCCCATGCCATTCTTTTCAAAGTATTGTTGCAGCATTTTTCTGTATTTCAGATTGGCAGCATATTAGTTTGTGTGTTAGCAGAATTTGATTTGTCAGACCCAAGAGATGAAATATGATCTGAGTTTGACCTCACTTGATCTCTACTGTAAACTATAGTGCTGTTTTTTTAATTGAGATTCTTGACATTGCCATTAGTGAGTTCTTTCCAAGTACCACCAAAATTTTCACGTCCTTCACAGCACACACTCTGCCTCTGTTCATTGGTAGTGGGCTTTTCTTCAGGATACACTGCAGACTTATCAGAACCGCCCAGATGCAAACTTCCACTCGCAGAACTCCATTCACTGCAGCTTCCTTCATCCCTCTCAGGAGTTCTGGGAAAATCAAAGTCCTGAATTCTTTCATATGCAGTTTGCCAGGTCCCACGTGAGAGGACACATTTATCATCTTTCAAGGTTGTTCTTTCATTTTTACTCTTAAGCATGTGATGAGCTGACCCTGAGATGGCAGGGCCATTTTCAAGTCTAGCCGCATCTACATTTTCTAACTGTCCTTGACAAACAAATGAAGGGACGTTTGGATTTGCAAAATTACTAGTTGCACACAAGAGTTCTTTGTCTATGTTTACGACGTGGCTGTATTTTTCTTCTCTTCCATCTACATTTGGAAGAATCTTTGACAGTCCATCTCTTCCAGCATTAACAAGATGTTTATAGGTATTCCTATTCTGAATATGTGAAGTATCTGTTTCATGAAGCATATGTTGTGCCTCAGTCTGTCTTGCATCAAATTGTCGTCTCAAGTCACGTGGTATGTATTTCTGAACAACTTTATCATTAGCTTCTTCAGGTGTATTTTTGCCACAAGATTTGCTTTCCATATTGTTTGGCCTAGTTTGAGACAGGCAATCTCTTTTTGAGAATTCTACTCCAGTAGGCAGGTCAGAATTTAACAGCAGAGCTAGAAGAGTAGAGAAGGAAATGGATCAAATAAAAGAAAATTAACAACAAAAGATTAAAGAAAATAATAAATGAGGGAGGGGGTATTGGCCCTTTTAAAATATAGGTCAAACAGATTCTCAAAAGAAGCAGCCTATGTTTACACATCCATTCACAAGCTCGTAAATACTCAGTACCTCCCTAAGCACCTGATTTTGGTTACTATGTGCATTACATCTATGTGGTGAAGAAGAAAATAAATAAATAACCCAACATACCTGAGCAGGTAGTTTTGCACTGCAGTGTGTGTCGAAGAGGTGTTTCAAGTCCTTTAGCCATTGTAACAAGCTTGCTGGCAGCATTCATTATTTTCTTTTCAGCTCTAACGATAACCAGAGAACATGAAAAAATATAAAGATGTCCAGACTCTGCATTTTCCATAAAAGTAACGACAGCAGAAGTTGAAGAACAGTGAGAAGACAAGGTGTCAGACGGCTCAGCAATGCTCTGCCAGCAAGATCAGCAGCGACTCCACACCCGTCTCATCAGATCAGGCCAGACTAACACTTGTGCCAACATGGGATGAACAATGCTACTGGACAAACAATGCTATACTCAAGTTGACAGAACTCTTTCAAAACCAAAAGATATCCAGTCATGCTGGAGCTTACCCTTCCTGTTTCCCATTATCAGTAAGAAGCTGTTGAAGACATGTCAAGTAGTACTTCCGCATTTTCCGTGCCGTCTCCTGGCGCTCTCTGAGAACCTCTGACTTAATCATTGCAGCAGCTCTCTCCTTACTTTCACGGATGTAACACAGCATATCACCTACAGAAACATACTGCATAAGGGACAGCTCTGCCACAGAGGGGAGAGACAGGAAAATACCACCAAAAGGACTGCTGAGTAGACCTGAAGCAAGGGCCCACGTTTACCAGCCAACCTCCCGCCCAAATCCACAAGCTGCTGTGATACACAGGCTCCACACTGCTGAAAGACCCAGAGCCAGCCTCTACAAAGCATCAGACACAACAACCTAATTGGCTCATCCTGCACCTCCATCAGCTTTAGCTCATGAAAACACAAAGCGCAGGGGTTTGAGATGAATGCTGGTTGGTACATCCAAGGCTTGTACCA